GACTTGTCGCGTCTTGTTTCTATGCCTCGCGCGTTCGGTCGGGGGGCCCCCGCGCCCCATCAGCAAAACCCCCCCCAAAAAAAAAAAAAAAAAAAAAAAAAAGGCATAGAGGTTCTGTAGGAAAAGCAGCCCCAGGTACTTCTGAGAAACTGAGCCCCGGATGTGGGAAACAGCAAACCACTCTCTCCAAAGGACTCTGTCCTTGTTAGCTGACAACTGGTTCTCTAGTGGACATGCTGCCTGGGGAAGACATACTCTGCCATTTTCCTCCCCCTAAGGACATCTGAAAACCCAGGATGCTACATAGAAAACAAGCATCAGACAGCTCTGAGGTAGGGATGGGAGAGCAGGCCAGCCCAGACCTAAGACCTCCAGAACCACCAGAACTTCCTCTGCTTTTTTATCCCAGAGAGGGAGCTGATGAAGTGGAAACCTGGAAACACTAATGGGACAGATGGGTGGGAGTTATGGGAAGAGGCCCAGCAGAGTCATTCACTCTGGCCAAAGGACCAGAGGAAGGAAAACTAAACAAGAACAGCCCTATGGCTGCCACACCAAAATAAGGATCAGGCCTAACTCCTGCCCCAGCCTGCTGTACCCAGGACCCTGGCCCCGCAGTGCATGGTATAGAATGGCCTCTCACCCACACTGGCTCTGAAGACCCCTTCACTTCCTACAGTATAATGTGGACCACAGAAGACTGTGTGGGGAGCTGGACTCTCACTCAGCTCTGTGATGAAAGGCCACCTCTGATGAGTACAGTGGTGAGTACATGGTGCCATGGCTGGTGGAGGCTGTGGTGAGTACAGTGCCAAGGCCCTCCTACAGCAGGGAGGCTGTGCCCAGGCCCAACTGGACAGCTGGACTTGTCCCCACCTCTCTAAGCTATAAGGAGGTGGCTCCCCATCCCCTGAAAGAGTGGTGTGTGAGAAATCACCAAAACCCACGTTATGAGTCAGATTCAGAGTCTCATGAACAGGTTCCAATAAAAATCACTTGCCACACTGAGAACCAGGAAGAGCTCAGTAGATGCCAATGCTGAGATAGCAGGGAGGTGAGATTATCTGAGAAAGGTTTATAAGTAAAAAGAATGAAGTGGAAGAAACCAGTCTCAGTGCTTTTGATACTGACCATGTTCAGTCTTAGCAAGGCAGACATGCAGATCACAATGAGGTGGAACAGAAAGCCCAGATGTGGCCCCACCAATAAGCCAAACTCTTTTTGACAAAGGTCAAAAGCAGCCTGGTGGAGGAAGGCCATGTTTCACCAGCAGTGCTGGAACAGAGACATGGCAAGAACAGCAATCCACACAAATCTCACACTATACACAAGAAGTAGCACTAAACGGTCAATCATGGACTTGGTGTAAAACATAAAACTATAGAACTTAGGAAAAAGCATGAAAGGAAATCCTCAGTTTAGGGCCAGGTAGAGTTCTTTAGACTTGACACCATGAAAAGGTGACTATAATAGGAAATGTTGATTAAATTGGGTCAAATAAAAATAAACTTTTGCTTTGACAAAAATCCTGTTTGAAAGATGAAGAAAAAGCTACAGATTGGGAGAAAATACTCAATAACCACATATTCAACACATAGAATATATAAGAAATTCTCAAAACTCAAGAGTAAAGCAAAAAACAACCCAATTACAAAACAAAGGATAAGACATTTTACTGAAGAGGATATGCGGGTGGAAAACAACCACGAGAAAAACTATGTGATCTCGCGAGGTATCAGGGAACTGTCACTGAAAACCACCATGTATGAAGGGCTAAAAGAGCGGAGACAACCTCAGCGCTGGTGAGGACGTGGAGAAATCAGGTCTCTTCTGCTTTGCTGGTGGGAATGTCAAATGGGACAGCCACTCTGAAAACTAGTCTGGCAGTTTCTTAAATACCAAACATGTGAGCCAGCTCCATGGCCTGGTGGTTAAGGCAACTGGGTCCCACATGGCCAACCGCACAATCCCAGGTCTGACAGCTTGAGAAACATGCTGGGCACATGTGTTTGCATCCCTAAACTCCTGAAACGAGAGAGAGATGGAGGATAAGGGGCTGTGGCATGATTATGTATATTCCTATCATGCCTGTGGGGTGTGCTTTGTTTTCTTCTCCATCTCTCTCTCTGGGGAGCGTCACAGCACCCAGCACTGGCATCGCTGGGCATTTCAAGCAAAAAATTCCTGGGCATTTCCAGCAGGGAAATGAAGACCTGCGTTCAGCTAAGCATTCTTTCTTACAACTATGTGGGAATCTACATTATCTCAAAATGAAAAATCTACAAAATAGACAGAAGGCATGCAACCGGCACGAGATGACAAGGTTCACCATCATTTAACTC